AAACTCAAGAGTATCAACAGAACAAAACCATTTTCTCAGAAGAGTAGCACTATTGCAATCCAATAAAATGTTTGACGGACAGTGAGCTCTGCGGAGTGTAAATGTGTCTTGTGTGTCCTGCATCATGTGTAATTCACTTATTTTAAGAGCTAACGTAAATAAGCTAAATCTCTGTGCAATCCTCGTCTGTGTTAAGCAGCATAGTAGGGCTGAGCGATTTTTCAGATTTGATCGATTAATTTGAATTTAATGTTTTGCCACGATTTAATTTTAGAAATCAAGGAATCGCCATTTTGAATAAAAATATCACCAAACGTACGAATTAGTCACTTAGACAACATGCCAATAATAACAGTAAAAAGAAAAGAATGAAAAACATGCAAGACGACGGGAGTGAAGTTCTTTTAACTTGAGTGGCGTGTCTTTAGAAAGCCGTTTCATGCTAGAAACGCGAGCGCAACAGTCAAACGCGTCCATGATTGCATAGAAAAACAATGGAAAAGCAGCGCATCGAATACAAAACCTGTAACTACTACTGCATGTCTGATATTTCATGTTTGCATCAGTGACGGGCTAAAAGCTGCTGCTCGTCGTTTTTACAGAACATTTATAGTTAATAATAGTCTACTGGTGTTTTACTTTCAGTCATTTTGAATTATCTTGACTTCTGAGACATGTCAATTCTGTACAAGATGTAGTTTACAGGCTGACCACTTCATGTGTGCTGCACTTGGAACAGGATTTTCTTTAACTAGAGGGTTAAAATAAAGAAACAGTTACTTGAAACATGTAGTAGTTACATGTTTATAGAGATCTTTATATAAATAAAACAAAGAAATTATTTGTATAGTAATAAAAATCATTTAGTTCAGTTAGAGAACAGACACTACGATTACAAACTGAGCGCGGCTGCTCAATGCAGCATTACAGATCAGATTTAATTCATCACGTGAGGAGAAGCTGAGAAGAAGAGTGAAGCGAGACAGACAAGAGATTCAAACCACATGCAAAAGAACCGGTTTTAAAAATATTTTGGGTTTTGAAAAGCCTGCTGACTTCTGCCATTTATCAAAGGTGATATTGGACTTTTGTTTTTTAAACATTTGTTTCTTATTTGGTTCCACAATGTTTACTGATCTTCAGTTTTGTATACCTAAACTTTGTTATTTTATATTAGGCATATAGCATAGTGTATTTTTATTTGTTTTGTTAATAAAAGTTCTAT